ATCTATCTATCTATCTATCTATCTATCTAGCTATCTAGCTATCCATCTATCTTTCTATCTGTCTGTCTATTTATCTATCTATCTATCTATCTATCTATCTATCTATCTATCTATCTATCTATCTATCTATCTATCTATCTATCTATCTATCTATCTATCTATCTATTTATCTATCTATCTATCTATCTATCTATCTATCTGTAACTGTTAGCATGTGTGTTTGTAGGTGTGCACAAGTGCGTAAGTGTGTGTGAGTCTCAGTGTGGGGGCGTATGTATGAAGTGTATCTATGCATAATATGAAGTAACCGACACCCCCCCCCCCTTTCCTTCCTCCCCCCCCTTCCTTTCTTGTGTTTTTTGTACTCCTGTGCAATACCTCTAATCTTCGGCACTTACTTGTGTGACGTAAGTGTGCTGCAAGAGCCGTGAAACTCTTACATAAAAAAAGAAAGGAAAAAGCCAAACAAACAAACAATCCTCCCCAAAAAAACCCCAAAACAACAACATAAAAAACCAACAACAAACAAACAAACAAACAAACAAACAAAACCCAGCAAAAACCCCCACAAAAACCAAAATAAAAAAAGCAAACAAAAAACAAAACATCTACCTTGCTCTCATCGGTTGTGCCGGAGACAGCATTGACGTACTCAAGACTGGGAACATGGAAGATGGTGTCTGCGCTGAAATCTGCAACTGGGCTTATCTACAAACAAACAAACAAACAGTAGTAAGTAAGTGTTTTACGGCACCTGCAATACAAAAGGGTCATATAAGTGCCGAAGATTATAGAGGTGTTACAAGAGAGTAACAAAAACAAAAAAGAAGGAGGAGAGATAAGGACGATAGATGTTTGATAGAAAAGAAGGAGCAAACCTCTCCAGAGCACCCGCCAACCACCCACCCACACAAACAAACAAACAAACAAACAAACAAACAAACAAACAAACAAACAAAACAAACAAACAAACAAACAAACAAATTTTAAAAAACTTGATAAAAACAAACAAACAAAGGAAATTAATAATCGTGTATAGATCTATCACCCCTGCTGGTGGGGGCCCCATAGTTTTACTATGGGGGAGTAAAGAATACACCTGCCGTGATACTGCATGTCGTAAGAGGCGACTAAAGGTGCATAGGTCTGGCCACCCGAAAAGTGACAGTTTGCAGAGGGCCAACTACCCGACCCAGTAAAAAAAAGGAAAGTTATAGAAACACAAACAAACATGCCTTATAATTTTTCCATCTTGGGAGACGGAGGAGTTTCTGCATCAGCAGGAACAATGAAGGATGTACGGAAAAGTGGGAAGACGTGGAGTGACATCAAGCGACTAGCCCAGGGTAGGGACAGGTGGAGAGTGTTTGTTCGTGGCTTATATCCTGACCCAGTGTGAGAAAGGCAATGATGATGATGATAGATCTATAGAGGGGTTTGAAGGGGGTAGAGTGATGGAGGCGCACACAATGACATGTAGGTTCACCTGTCGTTGCCTCTTGTGAGCTTCTGTAAGTCACGTTAACATTTCTTAGAACTTTTTCCATTGCTGGCTTGTTCTCTCTCCGTCTTTGTATCCCTTCATCTTACGTTCGTTCCGCTCCCCCTCTCTTTCTTCCACCCCTTGTCTCCCCCCTTTCACCTGACACTCACCTCTCACTTTTTTTTCTCTGTGTCTGATACTACCCCCACCCCCTTTCCACAAAAACCCACAAACGGCGTCGTGGTGTTGCTGTTAGGGTTAGGCTCTTCACTGTCCTACCCAGGAGACCCGAAATCAAATCACTGGTGTAAAGAAAGATTTTTTTATCGAGCAATTCATTCTTCCTGCTGGGATGTTTGTTAAAAAGCATTAGAAAATTGCCTCACCCCCAAACCCCATGACGTCATGACCCCACACAATTAACCTACCTCAAAGTTCTCCTGGTAGTACTCAGCGACCTTTGCCACGACCTCCGGACTGACCTGGCCATAGCCAGACTTAAGCAGTTCGGAGATCAGGCCGTGGAACAAGACCCCAGGTGGTATGGATGCCAGCTGAGGAAAAATGTGTGTGTGGGGGGGGGGGGTATAAAGGAGGGAGGGGAGGGGGTAAGATGGGAGAGACAGGCACCAACAGAGGTATTACGAAACTAAAGAAAAAGGGGGAGGTTAAACCCGATTTTAGGACTCTCGTACTGATCGACTTCTTTTGCACGCTTGGTTAAACCCTTATGGCGACCAATCAAGTTTTCTTACTAGGTTAGCAAAACGAAATCTAAATCGCTTCAATCAGCATATAACACAAAACCAAAAAACGTCAGAATGCCGAAATAGAATTGCCGTGAAAGTCGGAACTCAGATGTAGTGCGACGCGGGGGCGGGTA